CGACTGATGAACACTGCCGGCACACGTGTGTCTAGAAAAAAGACTTGGGTTTCAATAGGGCAAGAGGAAAAGATCTATTTAATAATGCACCCTGATGGACACCAGAATTAACTAGAAGATTGCGCCATAGCAATAGCTCAGAACTATAGTGGACAATCTAAAGTGATATTTATTTATCAAAGTCAATGGCTAGACTGGCACACATTAAGGCTGATAAAGAAACCAACTGAAAAGAGAAATATGAATAATATTTAAGAAAGCGATGTAGACATGGCAAGTCGAAGTTTGAATACTCTTGCACTTATAACCAAAATTGTTTTTCGGTCTGATTGACTCTATTTCGATTTCCTTGTTGTTAAGTAATCATGGCACACATGGCCCTAAATTCAAGATCACAAGTTATTATGATTATTAACAATTTAAGATGACTGTAAAATTTTATTTTGTTGAGTGCATATTACTTCTTAACTCATTGACTTCGACATTTCTGCTTACCGGGTGGTGTTATACAATTTAATATGGTTATCAAATAAATAGTTATGAACGTCTGATTAAAACAATTATACCTATTCATACGTAAGGGTATAAGAACAGAAGCGACGACACGCGCTGAACGTTAACAGAGGCGCTCGCTGTTATCTAACAGCCCGCTCTCTATGTTTAGAATATGTAACGGTTAAGCGCCGCGTGGGAGCTGCCGCCACTCTCCCTCTCTTTCTCTCTCCCACGATTTCAGTCTGATATTTTCAAGAGTTTTCGAAAATTTCTCTACCGATCAGTTTTAAAAGACACGCCAAACAGTGCGAAACGTTCTCGAGCGCTGAGAAAATAGCAAAAATAATACAGAACACAAACAAAAGTTAAGGAGTTCGCGTTTTTTGACTCGAAAACAAAAGTAAAATTGTTAATTAATTTTCAAACAAACAACACAGCCACACACAAAATGCACAGCAAATTGTTGGACGAGGTGGGTAATCAAATACAATCAATCAATCGATCGATCGATCGATTTTCCCCATTTTCGTAAATCTATTTTGGAACGCATCGTATTATTTATTGGAAGCACTCTTAGTTAGTCATCCTCGTTCTGGGATGACTTGTTCCCACAGAGTCATCGTGTTATTTACAACCATCAGAATCATAAACATTTCGTTGGCTAGGAAAATTAAATCGCGGAAAAGCATTCTTTTGTTCCTGCAGAATAAAGAAAAGACAAAGCCATATTTGCCGGTTAAGGAAACGTTTTAATATTGTGGACATTATACCAAATGTGGTCAAACAAAAAACAGCATGACAACTAGTTTTCAAATGGAGTGTGGGGCTCGTAATAATTATATACCACCCAGTCTGGGCTTAATTATGGTTAAGAATAGTTTGTTGACAAACTAGTTTGCAAATTAGCAGAATTTCGATTAAATCGAATATTCAAGTCAGCATAAAATTGATTTAGTTTTCTTATCTCATTTAAAAACTAACAGTGTTGCGCACGAGTTGGTGATTATAATCTATGCACTTGAATAAATATTGCTTTAAAATTCCTAGCTAAATTTGAAACTTAATCTTTTTAATATGAAATTAAAACTTTGTTTTAAGTACGTTTTTAAAACTAATACAAATATAAATATAAGTCAATATACATATTATTAATTTCTATTTATAGCAATATTTATAAACTAAATATAATATTGACCTAAAACTAAAATAAACTAAAAATAAAATTTTTTTGTCAAAGTAATAGTTATGGAATTTAAAATTTTAGATTAAGTCTAAATCAGACATAATTAATGTAATTGTCGTTAATTTCTAGATCCTTTTTTTTTAAATAAGAACGACTTTGTTTTTTCTGTGTAGACTACACCCAAGTTCTAGTTCAACCAGCTATTACTTAACATGTGGATTACGAAGTTAATGCTATACACTCAGCGCATGCAAGCTTCACTGCACTTGTCATTATCAAATTCCAACCGATTACAGAAAAAGCTGGCTAGGCTATTATGACATACGGGCAGCATACGTGATGAATGCAACTACTGATTGTTGACCCTCTGAAGTAATTTTCCATGCACACGCCTTTTGTAATGGAACCATATGCATAGAGCTCTCCGGAAAATAGAACACTTGTCCGTCCCCCTTTTTCTAATGATTTATTTTCGCGGATCGACAGCTGACCCGATCTTTTCCCTCTTTTCGATCACTTCAGGTGTGCTCGTTCGGCGATTTTTCTTCGGTTGCCTTTGAGTCACGGCGACTATTTTTACTCTCGTTTTTCATTTTCAAAATGCTCGCTCAAGCAATTTAAATTTATTTAATTTAACCACACTCATCCTACCAGGAACAGAGAAAAGAAAAAAAAAAGAAAGAGAGCACCCACAACAAAAATGATATATTTATCTTTTGTTTACCAAGCCGATATTCTATTGCCCTTCTGTCAGAAAATGAAATGCTTGGTAAACGCCTAAGATATATTGATTTTACTACAAATTGAACATTAATCATTATTTGTTTGGATGTCATTTCTCAGTGTTTTGATTTCCTTCGCCATTGCCAACCCATTATACCCCTTTTGAAATGTATGTAGAAACAAGAGAATGTGTGAATTTTCAATTTTAGGTTGACTGATTTCAATGAATGAGCACGGATTTCGGTCCGTGGGTTTATGTCAGGCAGAATTAACACTTTGACGAGCACGGGAATTTGTTAATTAGCAAACGTTAAAAAGGTGAACAAAGAGCACTAATACACATATTGTAATTACTTATTTAGTCCACACAAGACACATTCCTTAGATTAGAACGAAAGTCTGGAAAGGTTTACTTCTCTGGTAAAGATATACAAAAGATGTTATTATTATTTCGAATAAAGGGTGAGATTTGTATATCTTGAAGATCCATTTTGAAACCTTCTTTATGCTTTTTTATTTATTTTATATTTTTTTTGGTCAAATTTAGTTGCGATAATAGTAGAACACCATAGGGTTCGTAATTGCAAAGCGCGTGCCCATTATGCAGTCGGTCAATCGGTCAGTTGGTGCGATAAGACCGCCAGCCCCCGTAGAGTCCGGTCGGAGATTGCCGGATCCGCCAGACGAGACGGCGCAGGCGATTAGTTGTGCTCGGAGATTACGTTCGTGATTTAACGGAGACCTTCACCCGCTTCCATTCTTTTCAGCTGAATGAAAATGGCTACATTGTCATCGAGGATTTCCTCACGCCCGAGGAAGTGGACTCCCTGTTCCAGGCGGGAAGAGCCCTGTGCCTGGATGCTCCGCAGAACAACCGGAAGATTTTCAGCACCATAAAGCAGGAGGATGCCCAGGGCAAGGAGCTGTACTTCATGGAGTCCGGGGACAAGGTGCGCTACTTCTTCGAAAAGGGGGCGGTGGGCGAGGAGGGCCAGCTGCTGGTGGATCCCATGATCGCCTTGAATAAAGTGGGCCACGCCCTGCATGTGGAACATCCGGCCTTCAATGCGATCACATTTAGCAACCGGGTTCGCGAGATCTGCTGGCAGTTGAACTACAATCGTCCCGCCGTCTGCCAGAGTATGTACATCTACAAGAATCCCGGAGTGGGCGGCGAAGTCACGCCCCATCAGGACTCGTGGTTCCTGCACACGGACCCCAACTCGGCGGTGGGCTTTTGGATTGCCCTCGAGGACTGCACCCTGCAGAACGGCTGCCTGCAGTTCATCAAGGGATCGCACAAGAGCGGCGTCCACAGGCGGTACCTCCGCAATCCCGACAAGGACGCCAGTGAACTGATGGTCTACGACCGGGCAGCTCCCATCTATCCGCAGTCCAGCTTCACGCCGATGCAAGTCTCCAAGGGTGAGTTCACTAGGTCTTAATTGCCTCTCAATATACCCGTACAAATGAATAGTATACAATTTCTTTAAATGTTTTGTCTTTAAATTAAAGGCTTATTAACCTAATATTTTTTTAAGCACAAATATTTAATTAGCTGCGCTTTATCATCACAACTTTTTTCATTTCTATTTTTAACCTGGTTTACCTCTTAAAAATTTCTTGTGTCAATAATTAACCAATTGATCAAACAAAAATACGCAAGATATAAAATGTAAGAAACAACTAATTGAAAATATAATATTTATTTAATTACCATATTTATAGAAGTTCAAAAATTCTTATTAGATTTTGTATACATAAATATATATTGCTGAACTTCATATCATGAACCGCTCTTTACCTTTTCAGGAACTTGCATCCTCATCCATGGAAACGTGGTGCACAAAAGTGAGCCAAACCGATCGCAAAAGAGTCGCCACGCCTACACTTTCCACGTAATCGAGACTGAGAATAACGTCAAGTATTCGGAGGACAATTGGCTGCAGGCGCCAAAGGACAAACCATTCCCCGTCCTTTTCGAGCGCAAGGCCTAATGATCTCATCGGGATCGCAATTCGGTATTTTCGCACATAAGTTTCTAGTGAATCTTTAAGTTTCCTTGTACACGCCGCCAAGATGTATGCAGTAATTGTAAATGTAATAAATGAATTTCCTATTTAATTTGGATTTGAATTTAAACTCGACTTAAGCAGGGCAAAAGCAGCGGTAAGGCAGTTTTAAAACTCTGGGGAAGCAGTTCTCTGAGCTGAGGTTGTGCTGAAGCAGTATGCAAGCAGTTGATCGGCATAGATTGTAGAAAGCTAATGACCGACCTTAAAATACATTTACTTATCAAATTTAAACGATAACAGAGAGGAAAAGAGACACAAGAAGAGCAGTCAAGTGTACAACAGTAAACACACCATAGATGAGAAATGTATATTGACTTGACCAAATGTATGGGATATTAATCATCCCCAAGATATTATTTTGGACCAGATATCTGGCGTATCATGTTGATTAAAAATAATAAAAATGTCAAAATATAAAAACTGTTATTGTAGTATATAGCATTTATTTATAATCAAAGTCACCTTAACAATGGAAGATTGCTAGTTAAATATGAACACTTGACACAATGAAGTTCAATCAATGAGTTCGACTGTAAGTCCCCCACTCTTGTCATAGAGTTAAACAAGTAATACCCCCAGGGGCATTGACGTAAACGAGTTTTCCACCATCCAAAATTCTCGTTCTCAATTTGATAAAATTATCTGTGTCCGCCACCTCCCGGGTCGCGCGTTGGCGTTACGATCGTAGATAAGTCTATTAGTGCTAAACCACTGAAACTCGACGCGGACACTGGCTAACACAAGTCAGTAGTCTGCCAGCTCTTGGGCGAAGCGGATCGCATATACTAATTCTAAAGCCACTAAAATGTCGGCTAGCAAATGGGAATCTGATGAGGAGATCCAGTATTTCCGAGAGTATCTACGCATTCCGAGTGTACATCCCGATCCGGATTACGGTTAGTATCTCCGAGATGAAAGCTTGTAAATAACGGTACATAACAAGCTTACCACAATTTATAATCTAATATACTATATGCAATAGGACTTATTTGACAAACAATTCATGTGTACATCAGTTTTGTGTAATGCGGTAAATGGTTTTAATAATGCATTTATTAGATTTATATTAAATAATTATTTTTATTTACTTCTATAGAACCATGCCTCGCATTTCTCAGGGGGCAAGCAAAGCAGTTGAATCTGCCCATAGCAGTGTACTATCCAGCAAATGATCTGAATCCCGTGGCTATTCTGACATGGGAAGGTCTTGAACCCGAGCTGCCCAGCATTCTGCTCAACTCCCACATGGATGTGGTTCCCGTATTCCCAGAAAATTGGACTCACCCACCATTTGGGGCAGATATCGATGAGGAGGGTCGCATTTTCGCCAGAGGCACACAAGATATGAAGTGCGTGGGAATGCAGTATCTGGCAGCAATTAGAGCGCTGAAAAGAAGTGGAGCTAGATTCAAGCGAACTATCCACATCTCCTTTGTCGCGGGTTAGTATATATACATAGCGTGATATATTTGGTTAAAATTCTCAGGTTGCAATTCTATATAATCAGATGAAGAGATGGGCGGTCGCTATGGAATGCGACCCTTTGTGACCACCGACGATTTCCGTGCCCTAAATGTGGGATTCGGAATGGATGAGGGTTTGGCTTCACCCGGCGAAGATATTCCTCTATTTTATGCAGAGCGGGCAGTGTGGCGTAAGTTATTATTTAAATAATTTTATAAATATTTATAAATGTTCTAAGTTTGTGTATATCTTTTACTCCTCCACAAAAAGGTGTATATTTCCACATCAGTGGCACAGCTGGTCATGGATCCCTTCTGCTGCCGAATACTGCGGGCGAAAAGCTAAACTACATAGTTGGAAAGATGATGGAGTTCCGTAAGGTTCAGGTCCAGAGATTGCAGAATAATCCAGAGTTGGTCATTGGCGATGTGACGACCATTAATTTGACCAAAGTTAGTGGCGGAGTTCAAAGTAATGTGGTGCCTCCTTTGCTGATGGTGTGTTTCGATTGTCGATTGGCTCTGGATTTGGATCATCAGGAGTTCGAAGAAAAAGTAGATAATCTTCTAGACTTTGGTTTTCCTTAATTAATCTATATGCATTCTTAAAGCTTCACAAATGGTGTGACGACGTGGGTGGTGGCATCGAAATAACCTATGAGCAAAAACAACCTAAAGTTCCGCCCACCGCCATCGACGATAGTAATCCTTTTTGGCTGGCTTTTAAGAAAGCAACCGATGAGTTGTAAGTATTACTACTAATTTAAACGACCTTTATCTTATATTATTATTAACCTTTCAGGAAACTCTCCATTAAGCCCCAAATTTTTACTGGTGGAACTGACAGCAGGTACATTCGTCAGGTTGGCATACCAGCTTTGGGCTTCTCTCCCATGAATAATACCCCCGTACTTCTCCATGATCACGATGAGTTTCTTCAAGCGGACACCTATCTAAGAGGTGTCGAAATATTTAAGAAAATTATAAGCAGCGTTGCAAATGTTTAGTAAATACCCATTATCTAGTGTGATGTTGTACTTGATAACGGCTTAAATATAAATAAACTCATATATGACTTGTTCTTAAAGAAAAGGTTTTAACAAGCCTTTGGCATCTATCGCTTGCGTTTATCTTAAAGATAAAGACAATGTCTAGAGATTAACGCAAGTAGTAAAAGAAAGAATAGCTCCAGACCTATTTCTAGTTTTGGTCTTAGTTATATCTGAGCTTTTGATAGAAACACAATGTCCACCGCAAATTGGGAGTCCAACAAGGAGATACAATATTTCCGTGAATATCTGCGCATTCCAAGTGTGCATCCCAATCCGAATTATGGTGGGTATTTAAAAGCTCTTTTTTTATTAAGGATATGTGTTTAAAAAAAAGTCAGTTTATCACCATAATTTAAATTTGAAATTTTACTAAATTAAATAGATAAAAAAAATTGCAACATATATATTTTTGTATATAACTTATGTGATTAATATTTCTTTCATTAGAGCCTTGCGTTGAGTTTCTGAAGCGTCAGGCTAAAGATTTGGATCTACCTATTAAGGTGTACCATCCACTGAATGTGGAAAATCCTGTGGTGGTTCTGACCTGGGAGGGTCTTGAAAAAACATTGCCCAGCGTTCTACTGAACTCCCACATGGATGTGGTTCCCGTATTCCCCGAAAACTGGACTCATTCACCATTCGGAGCTGAGATCGATGAGGAGGGTCGTATTTTTGCCAGGGGATCACAGGATATGAAATGTGTGGGAATGCAGTATTTGGCAGCCATCAGGGCTTTAAAAAAAAGTGGATTGCGATGCAAGAGAACCATTCACATTTCATTCGTGCCAGGTGAGTACATATTTTATCCCAAGTACTTTTATAATAAAACAATGTAAATATCACAGATGAAGAATTGGGTGGCTTTAAGGGAATGGCTTATTTTGTAACCTCAAAGGAGTTTAAATCCCTAAACATTGGGTTTTCCTTGGATGAAGGAATTGCTTCGCCCACTTCAGAGTTTCCAGTTTTCTATGCGGAGCGTACTGTGAAACGTAAGTGGAATGAATATCTTTTGCAGATTTGCCTTATTCAAATATTTTTCCAGGTGTAATATTTAAAATCAGTGGTTCAGCCGGACATGGTTTGCTCTTGATGCCAAATACGGCGGGTGAGAAGTTGAGTTATTTAACCAACAAGATGATGGAGTTCCGAGCGGGGCAAGTTAAACGTTTGAGAGATAATCCGGAATTGCAGATCGGCGATGTGACCACCATTAACTTGACCACTGTGAATGGCGGAGTGCAGAGCAATGTGGTGCCTCCTCTTCTCACCGTCTGCTTCGACATTCGATTGTCTTTGGATATTGATGTCGAGGAGTTCGAAGCCAATGTGGGTCTTTAAATTCAATAATCTTTAGATGTATTAATGGCAATCCTTTCTAGCTGGCCAAATGGTGCGAGGAGGCAGGCGGCGGTATTGAGCTTGGGTTCAATGCATCTTTAAGGAAAGGACACATTCCACCCACTGTCACGAACGAGTCGAATCTTTTCTGGGTGGCTTTCAAGAGGGCCACGGATGAGTTGTCAGTATTGAATTATATATACCCGATGGTCGGAGTCTTTAATGTTTATTTTTCAGAGGTCTGCTAACCAAACTCCAGGTATTTCCCGGAGGCACTGATAGTCGCTACATTCGCCATGCGGGAATTCCAGCATTGGGCTTCTCTCCAATGAATAATACGCCAGTTTTGCTGCACGATCACGATGAATTCCTCCATGCAGATACCTACTTGAGAGGTGTGGAAATATACCAGAAAATCATTGTCAACTTAGCCAACGTTTGATAGCATCGTCCCTGAAATAAAGTACTTGAAAGGTGTGGAAATATATCAGAAAATCATTATCAACTTAGCCAACGTTTGATAGCGTCGTCCCTGAAATAAAGTAATTTTGAGAGATTGTTAAATGCACCCGAATATTTGAAGTACCAATTTTCCGTGTATACGCTCACTTTTTTTTTAAATTATTTATTTGCGCCGGAATCGTTCAATGCCATTTGAACATAACCGGACGTATGAGGACATATATACATATATAGTATATATTATACTATTTAAACTAAATACAATTATTTACAATTATTTACAAAATTTACAAAATTTTTTTGGATTACTGGATGACCCGGGAAGCGAGGTCACTGGGGTGAAATCTCTTCAGCCTTCGAAGAGGTTGCGGAGTATACGCTCACAAAATGACTTTTAATAATTGGGATTTTAAAGTGTTGCATACTCTTAGGCTCTTTTCACGTTGCTCTCGCGGCAACATTAAGTGGTGCATCGCTTTCTCTTTAATATATTAATATATATATAAATATATATATATTATATATTAAAATAAATTTCGCTTATAATGACTATCCTCATTGCAGAGTGCATTGTATGGTCATAATATATGGTCAGAAGTTTGAAACTTATAAGTATATATATTCTTAAGTATATAAGTATATATTCCTAATCAGCATCACCAACCGATTAGATCTAATTTGTGGTTTGACTCTCTAATAGTCTGCATTGGTCACACTGACCCGATCTAAAATCGATTATACGTATAATTTTACATTACTTATAATACATATTACATACACCAATTATACTACCAGTTTTCGAACCACTTGCTTACATCTTCCAGCGTGGACGCGAAACCGACGTTTAATTTGGATATCAACTCAGCAAAGACACACACCTTTTTTTTAGTACATTTTTATTTGAGTTTTGACGGTTTGATTTCTTGAAATTGGCTAACTGACTTTTCGGACTCAATAAAATAATTATTTTTCCAGACATTTTTGGAAATTTACTTTAAAGTATAGAGAATCGAGAAAATTTTTGTAAATTTTATATATTTATTGATCTAAATTGTTCGTTTCTTTATTTGCCATTTAACTATTTGTATTTTGATGTTGAATACTAAAGTACTTAAATTAAATTTAAACTTTCAGGCTTCCCTTTAAATACTTTAATGTCCTAAAATTTTAAATTTCCCAATTATTTGGATAATCAGATTTTTCCAATAGGTATTTTAAGAACACTATTACGTACATAATCTTCCTCAGCCAAAGCTCTACCAAACGATATATATTTTCTTCCAAGGGTCAGACTACAAATAAAAACTCAAGCCATAATTCGGCCACCGAATCTGGCCAACTTTGTCACACACGGCAGCCTCTTTAGTTGGCCAATTTTTTGTTGCGACTTTTTCCGCTGGTCTTTTGTTGGCTGCTGCTGGCTCTTACGTGTAATGTTCTCTCATGTTGCAAAACGATTTGTTGGGGGCAAGATTTATGAACTTGTTCCCACTGACAGCCGACAGTGGTTAAGGTAACACACACGGCAATCTGTGCGCCTGTGTGTGTCTGCGTGAACATGCCGCCTAATTAGAAGATTTTAATTATCTGTTTTCAATCAGCTTCCATTGAGATAATGATAATGCTGCCGCAGCCTGGTTCTTGTTTGGGTTCCCCCCCCTCCGCAACTCCCTCTCTTTTGGCCCCCGTTCATATATTTATTTTGTATATTTTTTTTTGGTACTACCTTGTGGCCGTTTAAGCCAAAATGCTGTTGACATTTCGCTGGCATCAGCGGCGTGGACGGACTCGGAAATTCGGCAAGGTGTTGTTGGTATCGCGGCCACGCGCTTGCTGCCAATAAGCGCTGTCAAAGTGTCCTAAATCGATTAGAATTGATTTTGAAAGGGCCGCTGACAGGCGCAAACGGACCCGCGAGCAATCATCCTCAATACAATGGCGCGGATTACAGTTGTCTGTCGTGTTCTATGGACTTGCCACTCCCATTCCCTCCGAAAGCCATTCCCATTCCCCCGGGCCAGGACCCATCGGCAGTCCCGCCGATATCCCCACACCCCTCCCCTTCCCTTCCAGCCCGGTTGCGTGTTTAAGGCCAAACGGAGAGGCGATGTTGCTGTCATTGACGATTTATGTCAACTGCCGCCGCGGCACAATATTCAAATTCTTTGCATTCACTCATCACTTGTCGCCGGCGAGCCGTCTGTCCTCGCCGCTCATGAGACATTCGCCAGGGGTGTACTTTTCAGGGGATCAACGTCCACGTCCATCTAAAGTTAAAGCAAATAGTCCTTAGTAGAATCTTGGTATAGAATTAAGTTACTACTAGTATGGTTTGAGAGCCTAAGGTCGAGATTTGCGGAAAAGGGTTTTTAAGGATCGATTTAAGTTTTAAACTGTTAAGAATCAAAGATCAGCTATCAAATATTAAAATTAAAATAATAAGTACACTTGCAATATATTTGCTTGTTATTTTTAACAAGCTTGATTCATAATGTCAACTTTTATTTAGTTCTGTAAAGATCTTTTGAGTGGATATTTTCACCATAAATCGGTTAACAAATTATTCTAGTAGTAAAAGGGAGGTATTGGTTTTTGGAAACTAATCAGCGCACCCTTCGATCTTGACTGTTGACAACGCCCCTGTAAAACGTCGAATGCTTTGAACTTATAAATCGCTGAGCTGCAAAATAATGGGAAACGAAATACCTGACGAAGGGTGTTTGGAAAAAATCAGCATATAAGAAACTTCTACTACAATGTTAGAAAAGTGTATCCAAGAATGGAAATTTGTTATCCAATTTAATCATCAGCAAATAGGGCAAAATAATTAAATAATTGTGAATGCAATTTAGGCTTATTTTAGCCTTGCTTTGTTAAACAAATAAATAAGAAGATACCTTAGTGCATTTCTTAAATGTTTATATAAGTAAGTTAAATTTAATGTACCTATCCCATTTTTGACAGCTAGAGTAAGTACCACAATTGAATTGCTTATTTCTTAGCTTTCATGAATTTATTTTGAAAACCTCACCCCTAATGTTTTTCATATTTATTATAACTTTTTAAACCACCCACTGGGCAGCTTTGGTCCCAAGCACACCGAAGCTCATCTCCACCTAGTTAACTCGCAAATTGAATTCAAAATCAAAATTTATTTAACTCTAATGGATTTGGCAACCTGAGTGGATGCCCCGCCCCCAAAAAGGCAAGTTGGTCGGTCCTTCTTATCTGGTATCTGCTGGATTTTGGATTCTGGGTGCTGGATTTTGGACTCTGGCGACTGGATGGATGGATGGTGGGCATTGGATCTGAATTCTGGATATTTGGTGGCCGGTTCGCACGTTTTCGCCACGCCACGCCAGGCCGACTCCGCTGCGTTGCCTTGATTTGACAGGATTCATTGTCTCCGCCACTTCAGTGACTTCAAGCTTACGCGCCTTCCTCGTCTTGGCCTTCTGGAGAGCCCGAGCTGGATGCGTATTGACAGCTTAAATGCGTCCATCACTTGGCCTGAACCCGGCCGAGGCTGACGGAATTCATTTAAATACATTTCGGCCCCAAGGGGCCAGACAGGGCCGTTCGCATTGTTACCCAAGAGGTTTAGGGCACTGAACAAAATGTAGCTGTAAGACTGTACACAAATCTACTGCAAATCGAAAAGGAATCAGAAATCTACTGGAAATCGAAGGGGTAAAGTTTAAAATCAGGACTATTATGAAATTATTAATTACACCACCACTAGTTTATAACACACAATTTATATATATTATTTAGAATGCTTTTATCTTAATTGAAGGGGAATCATTATTAAATAAAGACTTATTTTGATTGTGATCTTATCCTATTATGATCATTTAAATTATTAATATAACCTACAAGCCTCCTACTATTCTTAGAATTACAAACCTTATTTATTTATTTCGAATACAGGAGCTATAGTAATGGTTTACAAAGACATAACCCACTTTTCTTTCAGTGGAATGGGCAGTAAATTGGGCCGCGTCAGGGCCAATCGAATGGAATTTATATGCGGCGCATTTTCGTGGCCTTTGATTGACTTGTGTCACTTTGTCTCATTTGTCAGACGAACGCCTTCGACCAAACCGATGGATGCTCATCATCCAGACCTCCTCCTCCTCATCCTCCTGCTCCTTCGATCCTGGCGCTTAAGTGTCAGGTGTCTCACTTTGGGCCACTCAATTGAAATGTTCTGGCGGATAATTCGAGGACGAGGGAGCCGTTCTTTGTGGCAACTAAATGACACGAGGCTGCTGCATTCAAATGCCCATCAAGTTGTTACACAGTCGAGCGGGCATCCCTTTGGATGCGTATGCGTATCCTTTTGGGCAATATCCTGCCGCCGCCGAGCAGGACCAACTCTCGAACATGGGATTTATGACAGCTGAATGGAGTGGCCATCCGGTGGAGGAAATGTCCTGCCTGCTAACCGGAGATATGTTTCATATCCGCAACACGCTGGCCAACTAACGTGCGAGAATTCCACATTCGCACTCGGATTACCATTACCAATGGCCATGTCCATTCACATTCACTCTGGAATTGAATGCCGCAAGTGAGGGCCCCGTGACAGCCAAGATTTGTTTGTTTGCCCAGCCAGATTGGCTAGTCCTAACCCAAAAGGGTTCCACATCACACGGATAATAGCACACGTCTGATTGAAGCGGGCCTCCATTGGCATGTCCTTCAATCCGCCTGACAGCCGCAAACTTTTATCCCCGATCCTCGGATACCCGCCCCGTATCTGATTCCACTGATTACGCTCCTCCTGCCGCTGTTAACACGGCCATTAATAATTGTTTGCCGCAGAAGCACTGCCCCAAAAGTGTTCAAAGCAGGAGCCGCCTTTGCCCGCCGGCCAAGTGCAATTATTAACCGAAAGGCTGCAATTGCAGCCACTGCCCGAGATCGCATTGTTCCGCTGCATCATTCACGATTGCTTAGAGCCAAGAATTGTGGTGGTAAAATGGTCTTAACTTTTAAAAAAATAAATTAGGGTGCAGTTGCATTTAATGTTTAGATATTTGAAATAGGATTTCTAAAGAATAAGATTGTTATAAAGATATTTAGTATTAATTAAATAT